GAAACTAAAATATCTGTACGTTAGAATAATTGAGAAACAAGATTGTGATATTTTGTGCTTGTTCTTGGTATCATATTTTTTAAACTTCTATGAATATGCAACAGAACTTAATAGTTTACACGTGGAACTGGGTTTAGAATCACCTACCATATTTTGCTTTTTTAAGCAGAAAGCCAGATTTTTTGTTTATAAATTTGTGAGATTGGATGATAACAACATAATTTATGTAACATGATTTGTGGCCTCAATACTTGCATTGATGACATAAATCAATGAATATATGTTGTTAATACGTACCTGCAAGCTATATATAAGCTTGCTCAAAGCAAGATCCCGAGCACTCAACCAATAGGGGAAGGGTACCGGTATGAGACTAGCAAGCAACCACAGATGATACCGCTTATTCTAATTTAAACTAATTTAATTTCAACAGATTCATTTGGTCGCTTATTCAAACATTTTTGTGAATTAAGGCATTGGTGAGTATTTGATATCACCAATACTGCCGAGTTGCAATATCGATAAACTGTCAGTATAAAATATTTACCCATTTTTAAAATATAGTTGTATCATATATATATCATATAAATCATTAATGATTCAAATGAAGCTTGCAATCGATATGTGTTTCACAATATGATAGTTGCCATAATTTGAAACATGAATAACTCGATAAATTTCGGGCGTCGGGAAAGCTAAATTTGGCCTAATATTGATGTAACAATCGATAATAAAAAGGAGAAGTTCAAAATTCAAACCCCAGCAATCCTAATTGAAAGTCTACGAGACAAATTATATGTTAATGTATAGCTTAGTTCTAAACCATGGTATTTGTTCTACTAGTTGCCCTTTCTCAAATGGAGCTAAGTGGAAGTTTTTAAGTGGTGAATTTATATTGTAAAAGATGTATTATAAATTTAATATCGTTATTATTACAACATATAAATGAGAAGTATGCAAATAAATAATATCCGCATAGTAAGGATACCATCAACCTTTGTTGATGCCTTCTGGAACGGGAAGCACCTGACGGTTAAAGTTCAACAATTGTCCCAAACACAAGAACACATCAAGACTTTTGTTTATCTCAATGCATCTCTGGATGCAAATTTATGATCTTAAGTACGAGATTGGACTGATTGAGTGAATTGATCATAATGCGTGAGATCACGAAGGAAGTCCATACAATTAAATAAATTATTGTAAAATAAAGACTGGTTTGAAGTTGAATGAATTATTAAATCAACTGCAAAGCGATAAGCCGAAAGAATCTGGGGCAATTACAAGCAATAATAATTCTTTTGTCTAAGGCGAAGCGATGTTGCAATGTATATCAGGGCAGCATTGGTCGCAGTTATAATCCATGTTCATGATGAGTGTTCATGATTATAATAAAATATGCCGATTGAAGTTTAAATGTTGTCGATTTCCGTTTCTGTCATTTTACCACAAAAAAAACCGGAATGAGGCGTAGTTTCTAAATATACTGAAGTTGTAGAAATTTGGGATTTCTTTGTGAATAAAAATGCACTAGGTGATAGACAAGAGCCTTGAAAATAACCTTCAACTCAATTTCAATTGAAAAACCTTCATTTGTGTTTAGTTTATTCTCTACTATGAACTAATAAAGCCAGCTAATAATGCATCACTTTCATATTTATCGAGACAGATCAAACAGTTATCTAAAAGTTATAAATGTCACGTAAATATATCATACACCACCCGGAATGCAAATTAAAAACTTTTGCGCGATACATTTACGAAATGTTATGTTAGCAACAAACTAAGTATCTTGTAGGGTAGAGAATAACGCTTCAAACTTCAGTTTATATGTCATCATTTTAACATATGTTTACCTCAACGAAGTCTCTCCAGTATTTGGTGAAAGGCGTGAATGTTAACTTGACATGTTATAGACTTCATCACATCATCAACTTGACATGTTATAGACTTTATTCAAAATACAACAGCATTTTAACAACAGAAGATTTCAATGGAGTAAATATAATTCTGCAATGGCTCTGTTTCGGTACAGATTTGCTCATGCAAAAAGGCGGGTATCGTGATGCTGGCTGATAAACAGTACAATTATGAAGCTGCAGAAGATGAAATATTTTGTAGATTATGACACTTTCACACCATCTGGCGGCGCATGTTTGCGATATCGCGATGTCCTAGCAAAAGTTGAGACGAATTTGGGGAAATGTTTGACATTATAAATTTTGAGCATCATTGTTGAACGCAGAACCATACATTTTGAGATCACACATATGTAAACGCATAATCCTTACCACAATGTTGTAATATAATTGATACTAATTTTGTAACTATCTTGGGTTTTAGAAAAGTGTTAATATTCAACATTACACATCGATATGGATTAGTCATTCCCATGTGTACCTAGGTATATTTCTAGGTACATTATGAATAAATCGTAATACCAAACATGTTTTTGATACGTTTGAGGTTAGACAAACACTATGACCGTTGTACGATGGAATGGTTCTATTTGACGTCAACGAAATACATCGCTTTAAGTGGTTGATGACATTAAGTTTTCTTTATATCCAACTAAGTAAACTCATAGTTAGATATATTCAAGCTTAGCTGACCGATCATACAGACGGAGAAATGATTTGCCGTTTTATTTTTATTTTTGTGGTAACTATTAGGTTGTGAATATTTCTAGCCAATGGATACGTTGTCTTTCTTTTTTACTTGTTTTTACGCACATAATATTGTTATTATACCCGAAATTGAACCGGTATAAAATTATAAAATCTAATATTTGCGATTTCATTACGCCAGTTGTTAGAGATTGATGCTACTTGTCCGTCTATATGTGCGCACATACCTTCTTACTTCGAGACTCGGTTGGGCTACAAACCTGCGAAAACCCATATAGCCTAATAGGAAGTTATTTGCTTAGCGACCGTATCAATTGTGTTATTCATCGTTGATAGCATGCGATTACCTGGAATGCAAAGAGTTATTTTTTACAAAGTATATGACAATTCAGAAAAAGCAATACCGCGAAAATAATTTTTTTTCTGCAATTATCTAGTGTTTTGCAAGTATTCATCCCCTCTGAAATACGACATATGCCTATGTAATATACTGTCATAAACACATTGTATCACACATCAATCAAGTACAAAGTTTACATTGACAAAAAAGCTCGCACAACCACATTTCACGTTTCCATTGAGGAATATTCAACTGAACACCATCATTGTTCAAATTTTCCTTGAGTCTATAGGAACAAAATAAACAATGTGGACGACTTTTTGACGTCAAGCGTTTGAAGGTAACGTAACAGAGCACGTGTCTTTTCTTTCAAGGAACGGGTTTTTAACACTTTTGTGGACTTTCTTTTGTTCTATAATAAAAAATCCGGATATTTCGAGCATGTTGCTCAAAGCAGTAAGCGACGACTCAAAAAGTACCTCTTTTAATATGTAAAATATTGGCTGAACACATTTGATTTGAGTCTACATCTTCTTCTTTTCAGTGTTAGCGTCAATTATGTTTGGTCTTTCAAGTTTGGATTATACATGAAGTGGAAGTATGCAGTCTTTGTTCCATTTTATAAATCTTTCTGCGTCTAGTTTGTGAATATACACAAAAATTCTACATAATTTTACACTGTTGTATGTTATTAGAAAAGCCCTCTTTATGACCATGAAGTGGTGACGTGAAGTGGTCGTTTGGATTTTACCGTTCTCATGCAAATTGCTCTGAAAGTTTATTCAACATAGGGTCAATTTTCTGTTACCGTGGTGAAATCACAATCGCTGGAACTTTCCTGAAATTCAATTGTATTTCGTTTGGAATTAGATTAGTAATTTCACGTATCGCGAAGTCGCCATTTTCCCCTTCGTCCGTAATTTTATTAACTCGAATAATTGAGATACCGCGTTAACCCGCTAACGTAAGCAGCTGCGAAGGCACCTAACATCTTTAGTTGTCATCTAAGATTTATTCTATTGTGCAATGCACAATTTTAGCCACAGCTAAGAAAGCTGTTTACCTCTTTGAAACACAAATTATCGTTTCCCAATGTTTATTTTTTATTCAAGCGCAGACACATTCAAGTGTTCCACAATCAAGCATTCCTTTGGGCAAACAATTCCACATTGAAGTTTTTGATAAATGAAGGATTAGTCTTTTCGTTTTATTTATTGCTATCAAAAAGAGGTAAATATAACGTAACTTAAGATCTGACAATAGTTGTAACTGAGTTACAATGAACTAACAAAATAAAGTGATTGAAAAACAATTTTTAATTTGACGGAAAAAATAATAAAGCACCTTTAAACTAATTTTTCAAACTATACTTACAAATTCAAGATCAAAATTGTTTAAATTAAGTCGTATGGCAATGAAATTCTAAAAAAAAAACTTTAATTTCCAAAAAATGATATAAAAATAGTCCGAATCATGTGTTTTATGAAAAAGGGGCTACATACACATTAAAAATAAACATGTTTTCTATATCTGCTTGGCAAAATTATTAAGATGCAACTTATCACGTGGATTATGTCTTCAAATTTGTTGGTTGTGATTTAAAACCAAAGAATTTTTTTAATGTTCAATTCGTAAAGTTATGCAGGCACGGGTTCACAACTAAAAGTTTGAAGAATAATCGGTATAAATTGTCCAGTTTGACAAAACGTAAAGATTAAGTAAAACAGAAACAACATAAAGTCATTATTATACAGTAGATTTTCAAATTAATTTTAAGAAAAATATAAAATAGAAATAGGAACATCTATTAGTAATATATTATTGCAGTTAAATATTAGTGTAGACATGGTAAAGATCAAATGAAGATCAAAGACTGATATTACCTCATTTGCACGTGTATATATTGTAATATATTCAAGTATGTATCTTGAAGAATTAGGTTCAAAAATAAAGTACCATTTGCGATTGCCAACACCCGAAAAAACTTGATTATATAGATTACGACTTGATACATTATTATTCATAGACTTGTTATGGTTTTGTGTACTTTTTAGGGTGGTAACTTGGTGGCTAGAATGCTAACTTCTGGTAGCTTCTAACTTTTAATTGGCATATCAAAACATATGTAATGATATGAAAAGGATAACAAAAATTAAACTGTCCTGATTTCATTTTTTGTAATTTATGATGCTTTAATTCTAGTTCCTCTGCCTGACTGGCAACTTTTGGCAGCAACCGAAAGTTGAAATTTTACAAAAAGACTTTTGTTTGGGTTAATTCGTGTTATATAACGCAAAGTTGTACCTTGCCTTGAATTTAGTAAATTTCCGGTTATACCGTATTTATATGAATGTATTATATTTGTTAACATAACTTAAACACACGAAAAATCAAAATTTAAGCTGACATGCTATATGAAAAAATACTAATCAGTAAAAAAAAAGAAATAATAAAAAATAAGCAATATGTTTGAGGTGTGCGACATGAGTTACAGAAAAAAATCGGACTAATGTCAATTATACGTTTTTTTATATTGTTTTCACTTCATGGGAAAAACAGGAATAATCAGTTAAATTTAATTTGTATTAAAAACGAAAAGTATTCTAAAACTTCATGTAAAAATTTCATCATGGCATTTGAAGGTATGATGGTGTACTATGCTGACGACTTCGGAATTTACAAAATTGTCTCATATAAATATCATTACTGTTTATAAATTTTAATGTTTGTAATATTTAAGCATTGAACTTCTATAAAGTGAGAAAAAATGAACGAAGTTCATCAAAGCGTTTCCATAGATATTTGGGCCATGAAACGTGGCCATACAATTCTATTTAGGTTATCCAAAGACAGCGTTTGAAAAAAATGTGCATAACAGTCGCGATTATTCAGCTATTCAAACATGTCCATACAGAAGCCATCAAGATTAGTATTTCAAGAGAGGTTTAAATAGGCTCGTGTATTTTCTTATAGTTTCCTAGAATAGACTATTTTTAAAAGATGCCGATCAAAACCAGTAACCCCTACGTGTAAAAATGCTGCTTGTGTAAATGCTTATTCGGACATGTGAAACACCTCATTAAAATTTGAGAAGAAAAGCACACCCATATCGGCTATTTCATTGATTTTTGTAGTCAAATATTTTAACGATTATGTATATTTGGTTAAGCTATTAGAATATTGTTAAATCGGGCGTTTCTGAGTATCCCAGATCGATAAATTTGTTCCCGGTACCACAAATACGTGTTTTCACCCAAAAATAAGCAGTGTAAATAATTTAACAACTGTAAATAAGAATGAATTTGACGTATATTAAGATTTCCGTTATGTCTGATGACAATACGAAATCGATTTTTTGCTATCTATACCGCTTTCCGATTAGTTGTAAAATTTATTTACATTCTTTCGGTAAATATTGTGACTACAAAACGTAATTTTCAAAATTTCAGTAATTCGACAAGGATTACTTGGTTGTTTTAATGATACGGTAATAGTAATAATTTGTCAAGAAGGTTGAACATAAATATTCAGTGATTGGACTTCGCATGTAGAGCTTGATACTCTTGGGTGTATTTACTTTAACTTACAAGTAAGTTGCTGATTTTTTTTACAGTTGGCTGACATTTTAATACACTATTATTGTAGATATACGAAGTTAAAATAATTTTTTTTACAAAATAACATGCCGATTTTTGGAATGTCTGCACTATCCCAGTCTACTCTACAACCCGATGGTACTTCCAACTTTTGCGTTGGTGATTGTGAGTTTTCTCTGGACTCCTCTAAATAAAATATTTGTCCAGATTTGTTTATAATGAAAAATACAAATACTTTAAATAAAAATGTCGTTTTTGCAATAAATAATAAAAAAATGTTGGTGCAAATGGAATAGTAACGGATTATAATAATGCTTTGTCTGTATCGGATTCGGATTGTTCAGTTAAAGTTACTGATTCTTTCGTCGAATGTTGAGGAATATTCGAATTTATGACGCCGTTCTCTGTATAGTCTTTATCAGAATCTGGCGATATGACAATTTGAGGTAATGGGTCGTGTACTACATTGTCTTTCGTTTTTGGGGGTTTGTTATCTATATTTTCATGGGGAGGCGCGGGAAAAAGACTCTTTGACCTTCTTGTCCGTTTTCCTAACCTCCCCACCCCATTTTTAGACGGTTGGTGATTTGTATCGTCGTTTCCCCAATATTGCAAAGAGTTACTTTGTCCAAAATCACTATATCTGCGCGAAGGATACAACAAAGCAGATTCACTTTCTCCCGCTTCACTTTCAGATATATCAGACAAGCAGTCTTTTTCATACGTGTGGCATGGCACAATTGATATTTCACCATTCCCGGATTTACCGTCCGTGTGATTTTGAAACGAATTTCTACTACTGTGAGGTGATGTTGGGCTGTCATGACTATCATGTAAAGCCTCGTCTGTGTTTAAATATAATTTATATTCACTCTCTGCATCGCCTTCATTGTTATTATTCGCTGATTCAAAGCCATGGACGTCAATCTCTTCTGAACCAAGTCGAAATCGTGGGTGGCGAATCGGTGATCTTGTAGGGGACCGACTGTAAATGCTAGAATCCCTTTTAAGTATACCGGACGTACTAGTTGTACTTTTTCGACTCTTTTTTCGGGATGACCCTCCACTTAGAAAAAATGTTGTCAACATGTACAAAGTACTTTCACGTGTGGTATCTTTATATCGAGGAAATGAGTCCGAGAGAGATGCCCTTTTTGTTCTTTCAAAACCTGAAATCAAGAAACTTGAGTGTGAATGTTTTACCCGATGAAAAAAAAAGCGAATCAAGAATATAGTGATAGTTTCAGCAAAATATTATATGATTTATTCCTGACATTACAACTATATCAATACACACATCGAGTTTTATAAGACACAAAAACCCATATTTTCAGGTTTGCATCCTTATGACCGAGTATGTCATCCATTTTATTCAACTTACTATAAATAGCTATTTTAACACTTAGAATTGAAGTTCACAAAGCATGATTTGTTTTATTTTTTCAAATCACGTATTTCAAGTACCTAGATAATGCAATATAAGTGCAATGCTATGAGTCAAACTACAGTTCCCAATAATGTCAATAAAAATTATGATTGCCAACCGAGAGACAGTTACAGCTACGCTACTTGATTCTTAAAAAAGCATAAAAAACCCGAAAAAATATTTTCCAGTAACGACATATCTGCAAAAGGTCATCTATGGGTTTCGAATTTTCTGACCGATGCTTCCGATCACCTGATTGGGCAACTCCCAACTTTAATGGACAATTGGGGTACACTATGAAAAATATTTATTAGAAATATTAAATATTTCATAAAAATTGGTTTATTTGGTAACAAAACCTGTTTATGTTAAAAAAAGGTCAATATGATGATAAAAAATCGAACGTCAACTTGTGGAACTCATTGATTGATAGTGAAAGTCTATTGATCATGTAGTTTAATCCTAATATTAAAGAGACTATCATAAACGGTGATCATCTTGTCTCAAGAGCCATGACAGACGTCGGAGGAAGAAGCCCCGTAGGAATTTTCACGGTGACTAGAGAGCGAATTGTAATGACTGACGAGATAATCCGTTGATACTTTTTGTTTAAAATTGACGAAGGATATGAGTTTATAGCAAACCATTTTGTGACATTTCTCAATGACCTTTGACTCCGGGAATACTGAAAAATATTGGTTTGATGTGATTGACTTAAAATACTCTATGCTTGGCACTGGTAAATGGGTTTTGCTTTAGTGCTATGTCTCGGGAATATACGAATGACAGTTTCACCGGAAACTAGCAATTTCAGGATATTAAGTTTACCTTCAATAAGTGTACATTGGTTGTACAAGAAGAAGTAATATGTGGGTCTAAGAATCAAAGATTATAATATATAAACGAAATTCAAGTTTATTATTAAATATGTTATGCTTTGATTTTTTTCACTGAATTAGACAGTCTAGCTAGAATTCGGAATGAAGTTGAAGCAAATAAGAAAACTTTTCAAATATACCGTGTCTGTGAAACAGAACTTCATCGCTGTCAAAAATGATTAATAATATATAAGTGATTTCTATGTTGCTAAAGTTTCGAATTTTTACAAATGAGTACGTTTTTAACGAAAAACTTGCGTGATTGCACATCATATACGTTCCATGTAATATACTTTCGCGCTAAAAATACGATGACGCACTTCATGCATATTTGTGCCACCATACCATTAAATATATCTCTGCGATTTTTGTAGCGTGTCGTTTGTGACTGTAGTATAAACAAGGGACAGGGTTTTTATCATTTTCCTTTTATCTTTTCAACGCCACATATGCACAAGATTGACTTCTGACCCCATTATACGCATCACCCCATTTTTTTGCGGCGAAAACAACGTAAATTGGTTTTTCAAAGGTGGCATATTTCAAAACAAATTATTTTTGAGGTTCGAGACCCAAAATGTTAATTTAAAAAATTTTGATAAAAAATGAGTTCCAAGCATTGGTTCCGAGCTTCAATAAAAAGTGATTCTTTTAGGTGAGCTTCTAAGTGAGTGTGAGGAACCTTGCTTTGAGCAAATTTCATACAAAATTAGTTTCAGGTTTTTTTAATTTCTTTCAATTTCTCAATTCCTTCTCAACCACGTATGGGTTATAAAAGTCGCAAGTAACATCAAAATTCAACTAATTTTATTTTTCTGATGAGAGCACCCCGATTACCTAATATGAAGGTCAAATGTCATGTTAATATAAATTTTAAAACTTGTTTCGACGCATAATATAAGTACCATTATGCAAAGTTGAAGTATTACGTTTTAGTAACGCAGTGTTTGGTGTTACTAAAAGATTGAATACTAAGGTAAATTAAGTTTGAAAACGCCTAAAACACATAAGTTATGAAGGTTTACAAGAACGTAAAAGTAAAAAAAACTAAAGGTAGAAAAGCAACCAGTAACGTCTTATGCGTGAGACATTGTTTAAACTCTAAAGGATTATAAGTTCTACTGGTTCAAATATCGGCAGAACTCAGATGACACACCAAAATATCTGATATTTTTTTTATCGCAATGTACAATATCAGCTAAAAACACAAAAGTGCTTTTACCTTCCGAACATGGCAAACAAGTTAAGAGTCTTCCAAATGCTTGTCTGAATTGGTTGTTATGACAGTATATAAATGGATTGAAAAAGCTATTTGCGTATCCCAACCAATTGAATGTTGTAAACCACCCGACTGGAATACAGTTGTCAGGACAAAATGCCTGAAAAAAAAAATTGTTAAGTTTGTTTAAAACATCTTTTTTATGTATTAACGAATAATAAATATATTCCTACCCATATATACAGTAGTAGTGCTGTTAATTATGGGAGTAATTGCCAGAAATAAGCATGCAAAATGAGTGCTATCTACAAAATTAGGAAACGCTTAAATAATTTCCAACAAATCTAAACAACGGATCATCGCAAAAATATTGTAAAAAATATTGCAATAGAATTTAGAATTCAAAATACAATACCATAAAGAGATGAAAACGTGATTGTTTGCTTCTTTATAATATTGTGAATGAGAAAAGACAAAAAATTGATAATTGCAAAAGCATAAAATGACGAAAACAAACAAAAAGAGAAGAAAGTGCAGCAAACCTGAGTCAAATTCATGATAAAAAACGGAAGCCAGCAAACAACGAATATTCCCATGATGTATCCCATTGTAAAGACGGTTCTTCTTTGTTGTTTGTTCCACAGTGGACGATTCGTACCTGGCATGGAGGCTCGACGGAATATACCGGTTTGGTCATCGATTTGAGACGCATGTCGAATTGCCTCTAAAGAAAAAAAGATTAAAAACAAAAAATAAATCTTCAAATCTAAAATATTTGTATCTTCTTCTTAAAGACAATTTGTACGACAATTCATTGAGGGCCAATGTATGACAGATTTAATCTTCATAGACAAGTGTGTATAATATATAAACTATATTTGTCCAGCTCAATACCTAAGTAAATGATTGAACTTGAGATGGCTTTTGACTGCGTGCCCGTGACCTTGAATATGTTTTAATCAAACATAAGCGTCTAACCACGGAACAAATTTCTTTGTTCATTACTGAAAGGAATTGAATGAAGTGAAAATCTGCAAGTTTTATAATACATTATATATATAAAATACAATTTTGGGTATTCCTGAAGTATGCGCACCAAGATGTCGCATAACCTGAACCCTAACCTGGTACACAACCTGATTTCAGGTTGTGCGACATCTTGGTGCGCATACTTCAGGAGGTCCCAATTTTGTCTATGTAATAATCGCAAACAATATTATATATAACAAAGAATGTCAGCCCGAGGGGCCCCACTTGCCATACGCCACGCGTGTCTTTTAACGAAGGCGCACTAAGGTCAAACTCAGCAGGGTTCCCGAACCCCGCTTATCCAGCCCTTGGTTGGGGTTTTGCCGTATAGCAGGCAGGGATTCGTTGTGTTCCATAAATATATCATAGTCATGGACAGTGTCTGCAATTTATAAGTATCAGCGCAAAGATCCAGCTGCTTTACCGGAGACAGGTCTTAGGAATGTAAGAATCTGGACTTATCATCCAGAGTGTAATATATTGGGCACGATATGCAATCAGAAAGAACTCTGACTATTATAAAAGTTAAAAAAATAAAAAAAAATACCTTTGAACACAATGGAGTAGCTAAAGACCATTATAATGAGAGGAATGTAGAACGAGATAGCTGATGACACTAGAGCATACGTTTCATTTGTTATAAAGTCACAACATTCAGCGTTGTTGTAGCAGCAATTCGCCTTCTTTGAATCTTTCTTCCACCAGCCAAGTTGGATAGGAATAAACGCAATACTTGCCGAAGTTATCCATATTATCGCAATGATAAATCTGGCTCTAGTTCGGGTTACGTATGTTGTGTAAGTAAACGGCTTTGTTATAGCAAAATATCTATCCAGAGCTATAACACAAAGCGTTTCTATGCTTGCTGTTACGGTTAATACATCAATTGATACCCATATTCTACAGAATAGTATTCCAAGACCCCATTTTCCGTTGATTACATATGGAATTCCTAACGGAAGAACCACTGCACCCATAATAAGATCAGCACATGCTAAACTTCCAACGAACATATTTGTTATAGTCTGAAGTTCATGAAACACCAAGACAGCTGAAATCACCAATGCGTTGCCGAATATTGTCACGAATACGACGATTACTAGGATGAATACCACAATGACTTTTGCAGCGCCAGTCATCTCCGAAGGGCCGGCTTCTTCGCTGCAATTGTAGACACTGTTTGAGATGTTATTCCCAGAAATTGGACGAAAGCTGATGAAGATCGTTTCCGGCAATGACTCGACGACATTTGATGTTGATTTTGTGATGAACGATGGGGTGCGGTTGTTAGCATTTGTTGTCCCCTGAGTTAAGTTGTGGGTTACTGTATTTGAGAATCCTGGCTTTACTAATTCCAACATGAAGAATAAAAGTAACAAGGAAAATGTTTTTCTATAGCCCATCTGATTATAAATCACTTTTAAAAACATATTCGAAGCATATTATTACCTCAGTTTCACAGTGTAGAACAGAATGTGTACTTAATTTATTACCTGCATTGAAATACAAAAATAGTAGAATAGGTAAAAAGACAACCATTTACTAATTCGAACCGGAAATAATAAAATGCCCAGCGTTAAGATTTTTGAGATAAAGAAAATGTTTGTAATTTATCGGAATAGAGAAGTAAAACAATAATATTATACATTTACAACATTCGCACAATCTAAAATGAAGTTATTAGAGAAAGATTTTTTATTAGTAATATTTTTGGTGGATATGATTGAGACAACACACATACGTGATGAAGAATGACATCACGGTATTTTATAACATTTTGCTGTAGAATTGAGTTTATGAATGTGCTAACACATATACACTACAGCAGCGAGTATTTAGTAAACTAATTTTACAGACATAGAGTGAAACATAATATAAGAAAGTTGCGAACTGCTCAACATTTTTGATTTGATGATCAAATGATACGGTCCTTCTTATGGTTGTTAAAAGCCAACATAAAGTGTATTTTTCTGTTTTTCGTAAATATCGACCTATTGCTAATTGAATAAAATGACCGTATAATTAGGAAAACTCGCGTTAAAATTGTTGTGACTCGGTTTCGTGTTTTATCTTTTAACCACCTCGACATTTACTGACAAAAGTGAGAAAAATAGTAAAATAAATTGCGTATTTGAGATATATGGTTTGACGAGTTGATATTGATCAATATGCTCAATCTATATAACTTATCAATGACATATACTAAATGGTCCGCCAATTCAGTTTTGTGTCTTGTGTTAGTGTGAAAACATGCGCTTGACCTCTATGCTACAGCTAACGTTCTATATAAAAGATGCTATAAAAAACTGATATTGATGCATGACGGGAGATGTAAAAAAAAATAGACAGGGTTTAATTATATCAAATATACAGGGTGACACATCAAAAACAAAACTCATAAATTGCTTAATTGCTTTTCTGTGTGTCATTTTTTGTGTATAATTGCACCTAGAAGTTTTAGTGATCTACTCCTTGCACATAAGTGATGTCCTCTCTGCAATATGTTCAAATTGACCCTGGTTCCAATTTTTGCCATTTCGTATTTAACTTGCTATGCCACTGCAATTATACGTCATTATATAAATGCAATAGAATAAATATGTCAAACGAAAAATGCTGTTATTTCATTTTCATTTTTAGAATGAACTTCAGTAAAACTTCGAATAAATGGTGAACAAGTTAGCCAATCAATTGTTTGAATAAAACTTGCTACTTAATATTATGCACAAAACTAGATTTGAAATGGATTCAGTTTCAACCGTCGTACTTTATATACACGCTCGCGACAATCATATTGCAATAAAAATATATCATTGATTACTGTCATCACTGTGTAATTGGTATTAGATATTCAATTTAATCTCTTTTCAGTTGCATTTACGTGTTTGTGGTTTTTTCGTGGTCAAAGGTTTTGGCTTTTGCTTGTAACTTTACTTTTTTACGATGTAGTGATATAAGGCCCACGATGACGAAATTAGTGACGTTCATTCAGATTTTTAAAAACTGATTAGACAATTTAATCTCACATTGAAGAATTGTGTGGAAGAAACGAGTTTGCAACTGAATAATTTATTTTTAATCGTTCAAAGTTAATGTTGTTTGAGACCAACTAAACAAGTTTGCTAATAAGCGTGGTCAAATTACGTTATTCTCGGAGAGAGTGAAGTTGTCTTCAGCTTACGCAGAAAGCAACGACAATCTTGTTAAATGGAACTACTAATGTACAAAACTTCAAGCACGAACCAGACGCGATTCCAATTGTTTAGTTGATTCAAAGTTGGAAACAGGAAAGATAAGACTATCCAATTATTTGAATAGGGTAAACCATCATGAGCTGTATCAGAATCAGACCCTCAAATCCATGGAGTCTGACAATATTGACTATAAGCATGTTTATGATTTGGTATATGCATCAAAACAACCAATCTTTTAAAGTAAACTAGAAACACAAAAATTTAGAATTTAGATTTTTAATAAGTTACCTAAATTATCCCAAAACGCTTGCTACTAAAATAATCCGCACAAGTTCACGCCAAATATCAATTAGCAATTTATAAGAATGACATTTTATATTTCGGTATTTTTTTGTAAAAACGTTTATTACTATTATTAAAAGTATTCAATGAAATTACGATATATAAAGCAACCAAACATTTTATTTATATTTATCCCAATATTGGCATGGTATTGCGGCCCTAAATCAAGTATAATATACTTCATGAAAAAATTTTGCCATGTCATGCATGACCTGCATACCCCTGTTTTGTGCGTTTCAAATACAATTCATACGCGGCCAGGAATAATAGGACTAATAAGTAGTTTCATTTGACTGTCATATTCTAGCTCTTTGAACTAGCGACGCATAATACAGTTTCTTTTGTTCAAACTCTAATACACAAAACGTTGAAAAGACAATTGACAAACAATATGTATTCGTTGATGAATACGATCCATCTTGGTACAATAGCTGTCACGCTCTCTATGGCTATTAAATAAATGATTACCGTTCAATGGCGTTTTGGCGTTATTTTATTTGAATTGTCACTACGTAATATAAAAATTGATTCGCCGACTGTCTGACAACGAAAAGATCAGTGCATCAGATGTAAACTCCATTCATTTCTAAAACGAACTATTTTAAAATCGAAATACCATCGACTTTAAATCGTCTAATTTTTCATCTACTACCGTCACCGATTACGTTTACAGGTAAAAAGACTCTGAAAAATATAAACGCACTATTTTTAAAATCCGATTCCCTTCCGCACAGAATTGGGGTATAATAAATAAATAAAAACAGTTCAAATTTTGCATTTTTCTTATCTGATTTCGGTACTACAGAGATGCTTAGTTTAGGTTTGTGTTCTGTTGAAAACTCCGAAAACGTTGTATTCTCTATATACCATTGTTGGACAACAACTGTCTGTTCTTGTTGACAATCGCAAAAAAAATATAAAGGCTCCTTAAATCTATATTACTGCCAACAAATTTAGAATTTCGTCACCATTTGTGAAATAAATTTTTATAACCACTTTCGCCGTAGTAATTTATTAAATTTCCACGCGGCTAAAATCAATAGACGAAAGCAATGATTGTTTACGACCAACCTACCAACTACCCCTAGAGTAAATCAAGTCCCGCAAATTTCCATTATACTTCGAACAAAATTCAAATGAGTTATTTGGTTCAATGCTAATTCACTTCAGTTCAAAGTGCTTGCGGTTTCGTAACTAAGGATTACCTTTTAAGCAAAGTAGTATAAAAGAAGAAATGAACCTTAAATGGGGTTTTCTCTTTAGGTCTTTCTACGATAAGAAATTGTTTGGTATGTTATCCCCGCCCATATATGGTCCACTTTACGAATTAAGCATACTAAACTAACCCAAATTTGAATTGAACTTCAATCAAGCTTGTTACAACTAAAATCTATTTTCGCACAACGCTAACGTACAAGTTGTTACAGTAATTGAGTCACAATAGTAAATAGTGATTATAAATTGAATATGACAATATCTTATTCATATGACATAACCGATTTGAGTATTCTGGTCACAAGACATTTTATGTTTTTAAGTGATATTAAAATTACATTATTTCTTGCGTAGTTTTTCATAGTATTTTCAAACACTTGTCATCCAGTGTTATTGATTTTAATACAAGTTTCTGTACTGCTATAATTTATTTGTGTAATCCCATCCTGACGACGCCCTTATAACCTTGTACAATCGATTGAAATTAGAGTAGTGAATTTTTCACATATCGTGTAGTAACAACATTGATTTACTGCACTTGATTAAACAAAAATACCAGTAAAGTAACTTTTCACAGTAAAATTAAAAGTTGAGTGACTTTTAACACACTTGATGCAGAATTACTTGAGTTTTGCGTGACACGGACTGATTTTTATCGGCTTTCCTCTCCGTTTAATAATTTTCAGCATTCGACTTACATCTCATGATCACCACCTCACTCAGAGTGTATAAAACAGAGTGGGTAACGCCGAACCGGTAAGATTCCGGCCCTTCCAAATCATAGTACTTATTACCCAGCAATAAATTCTTGTGTAGAGCCTAGTTTTGAGTGCACATCATATAAATAGGTAATATAATATAATATAAAATTTATTTAAAAAAAGTTTATTATGACATAGGCAAATTAAATATGGGCAGCTTATAAAAATGTCACAAAAGTGTGCTTTATCTCCCTACCAAGTTTGGCAGAATTTTAAAAATACATACATTTTATTACTGTAAAATATTGGAACAATTAGTTATTTTTCCAACAGCGATGTTGTTTTGTAAATGATGCTAAATTGTTACTTTGACCCAATCATATTAATAAGTCGTTATTCGCGACGATGTTTTTCGTCACCGACACATAGATATCCCAAATGAATATGGTTTCACTGATGAACTAAATATTAGGTCAATCGAGGGGTTACGAACTATTATTTACGAATTAGAGAACGTGTCCCTCAAACATAGAATTGTAGAAAGTATTAGGATCATAGGTCATAGTAAAATGGCAGACTTCTCTGCATACGTATTTTTTAAAATCGTTTTCTGAATTCGAAATAATGTTTCAATTTGCTCAGAAATTTGAGCAGAATATGTAATATTAATATAATTATATAAAAACTAAGAATTTTTAAAATGTAATATTTTTAGCAATTTGGGAGAAAATAAATGAGAGATTGCGGTGTGTTCAATATAAATAAAGTAAAAACTTTTTATATATTTTATATAAATTATGCAGCGTTTACAATTCAAAAAACAAGGAGAATAACTCGCATTTGCGAATTTTAACTTCCTAATCCTTGATTTCAATGATTTTACCTGTATTGCAGCAAACTTGTGAAAGTTTGGTCAAAAAATATTCATTTTGAATAAAATACAATAAAATACCTTTAAATTTTCTCAGTTATTTATAAAGCATAATTAATAATATTTGCATATTCCCAAAGGAATAAATGACGCCAAGATTCACATA